TCATAGATGTATTGTTTTATCATCCAATCCTATTATATTAAAGGATTCATTCCTTCCACTGATAGTGTGTATAAAAATAACATGACATCCATTAGCATTTGATGATTCTGCATATACACACTGTACACTAACTGATCCATTCCTTTCAATAAATAAAAGAACACCTTGTACATTCGATGATAACGTAGCTTAAGATAATTCAAAGACAGAAAATAAGTTAAAGTAATCAAACATAAAAACTTACAAAATGGAACTTCCAAAGAAACTTTATCAGCCTTTATATAAGCTGTATAATTATTACATGGTCTTAATCCAGTCATTTTGTATGAAAATATTTCTTCTTTTTCATCTGCTTCAACTGTCTGAGTGTTGTCCTCCATACCAATAGGAAAGACTTCACCAACTATCATATATGTACATGATCGATTACTGTGTATCTAATAAAATAACATTGGGTGCATAGTTATGGAAGCAAAAAATCTTACTGAACTATTAAGATTAGCAACAAATGTCTGGTTTGATACATCAAAAGTCACTGTAACATTGTCATAAGTAATAGTATGATCTAATCAAAAACAAAAAATAATTTCATTTCTTTATTCTACACACCTGCAGTGATGCTAAAATTATATTCTCTCCCTTGTGATACATATTGTCCAATAGATGCAGTAATACTGACAGTAAAATTAGTACAAGGTAATCCAGTAGTGTTCAACCATACACTAGTACCAGTAGTGTTAGTATGACTAGTGCCATTCACTAGTACATTATATGTAGTATAAGCAATGGCTCCTGTAATAATATCATCAGAATAGAAAGAAGGAGGAGACCATGACAATAACTGATCATCATTAGACCATTGTATGTCTTCAACTGGTGATATTCCTAATATATTATAATCATAATGTATTATGTGTATATACATTAACCTTTTATTGTTAGTGTACCACCAGAATAAGCTTGTTCAAAAGGTGGATATGATACAATTTGACAATAAATTTGTAATCCATCATTAACAGGTAACCCACTGATAGTAAGTACTGATGATAAGGTACCAGGACCACCACCACCAGGATCAGTAAATGATATATCTCTTTGTTGTTTAACTGATTCTGTCAGTGAAGCACTCCCTACTATCCAATTCAGTTCATTGCCAGCTCCTTCACAAGTAAAACTTGCTGTCTCATAAATAGGAACAGTAACAGAAGTAGGACCAACTGTTATATCTAGAAGAACAATCAAAACATAAAGTATATTCATCACACATTACCAGCTCCATCCACTGACAGGATCAACAAGAACAAGACAGTGAGAGACAGACCTAGTCTATTCTTAATCATTTTTTCTTTGCCGACTATACACTTTATATTAAATTATAATAACATGCTTTTATCAGATGAATACTGAAGGAGTATGTATGAACTGTGTAGATACATTATGTGTATATATGTGTAGATACAGGATATAGTAATTAAGTGATTCATTATACTTGATGTGATCGTTATTTGTGATGACTAGCTGCACCTTTTCAATAACAGTTAATTCACAATAAGGTCACATTGCACATACAAGTATTTTAAAGGAGATAAAAATACTTGTAAATAAAGAGTGCCAGACTCTCTTTTCTGACTTACCCTTAGGACAATACTGTCTTGATTCCTGCAGCAAAGGTCAAATGTATATCAGGCAATCCCAGGGTTGATAATAATATTTTTGCCGAAAATGAAAAGGAGAGATTTTTCATTTTAATAATTTTTTGATATAAATACATGCTTTTATATTGTATTTTAAGTTTGAGTGATTCCAATCAAAATTTTTCATAAATTTTCCAAAATTTTGTTTCAAACAATGGGCAGTACAATATGTCATTAACAATGACTCGCTCTGAGTTATATAAGTTTGACTAAATGGTATTTTTTTAAATCACACAGCAAAAATAGCAAATTATTGTAGCAGCAAGTCAGCAAGGTAGCGCAGCAAAATAAATGTTACATGTAATTTTGTTCAACAGCAATGTTCTCTGCTTCCAACTCAAGCAGCTGATCAGGTGGATTGGTCACTTCTTTAGAATTCAAATGATTCTCTTCCAGTTCTGATTCTCTATTGTTTACATCATGATACAATAAACAATAAAATTATTAATTATACCTAGTGTTCAAATTCCTCTTTTTGTGAACTGAAATGTAATTCAAAAGACTGTTGAGGCTATTTGCTATCAACAGGGCAATCACAATAATAAAGACATTTTTTTTGAACAACAAAAGAAAGGTCTGACCAGTAATCCACCCTAGAAATAAATTTAACTTTACTTGTAAATTGTAAAACTTATATTTCAATCCTCTGTCAGGCCCAGCTTCACCATTACTATTATCATAATAATTATGATCCTGCACACAGTGAGGAGGTAGAGGACCATTATCATCATACAATAGCAGTTTTCCATTGCATATGCTTCCACTCAACTGTCCATCTG